TCTGAGATTTGATAACGCGGTGTTGATAAGTCTGTCAGATTTCGCAAATAATTTCAGGGCTCTATCCTTTATGTATTTACCTTTTGCTCAAAAAGAACTCGGATTTTGTAAATAAAAGACACAAATTTAAATTTTATTCCAAATTTAATTTATCTTCTTCAAAATATGCTCCTTCTGAAGCGATACACATATGGCCCGTGAAGGTATGGCTTTTAGTTCCTTCAGCGAATTCTCTTTTACCGATTCAATCGACTCAAAACGCTTACCACGAATGGACAATTTGAGTTTCGGAAACAGGAAAAAGTCGCACGGATCCAGATCTGGTGAATATGGTGCCTGAGCGATGAACAGCGGTGCCGTGTTTGGTCAAAAAATCGCGTACAACAAGAATTTTCCATAGTAAAAATCGCTAAATGCAATTGAGGTAGTCTCACATTAACAGCTGCTGTAAAGAAACTAATTGACAGATGGCGCTCAAATTTGTACCACTCGTCAAGAAAGGGTGTACCAACAATAAAAAAAGGTCTATTACTTAAGGAGTAGTTAACAAACAATAAAATCCGGATACTTTTTGAGCAGAAGGTATTTATTTGATATTGTGATATCGAAAATAGTAGTCGAATTTAACAATAAAAAATAAATTAAATTTTTATTAAAAATTCTGTTTCATTTTATATTTTTTGAAATACGATCATATTTTTTTTTTGGAAAGATTTAAATATTATTGAAGAATATTCAAAAGAGTATCTCGTCCATATCAAGTGTAAAACAACATATATCATTCGGTATTATCGATATTATGTTTTATTTATTGTTTTGTTTTTATTTGGGATTTGGATTTTTGTGAAGGTTGATTTAACACCAACAAATTTATATAAAAGAAAAATAAATAATATTAATATTTATATACATAATGATATATAAATATAGTTAAACGTTGTAATTAACATTTGAATTTAAATTATGAAACGAGTTTAAGTAAATCAGCACGGCTTAAGGCAAACACAAAGCAATTCCGCAGAATTATTAAAATATTTTTATCATTTATTTTGTTTCAGTTTTACAATAAAAAACAAAAACAAAATAATATTTATGCATCAATTTATACATTTCATATATTATGTATGTATCTTCTATGTGACATTGTTTTCTATCATAGAGTGTGACAGTTTCTATTTGTGGAATTATGGAATTATAAATTCTATTTTTATGTTATCATGTAAGAAATGTAGAAATTTGAAACTGTACACCTTTCAATGTAGGTATAACTGCAATTTACTGTCAACAAATCAGAAACATTCTACATAATACAGAAATACATATACATACATATACATATAGATATGTATATTTGTGTACAAAATAATATTAACAAGAAATGTTATCCGATACATTTTGCAAGTGTTTATTTTATTTTTAAAATTTGCATTTAACAGCTGGAAATGTTTTCAGTAAAGTATCTTTGACATATGTGTGGAATCACAATAAAAGGAGGGCGTTTAACAAAGTTGTCTTGTATTTATTTGGTTGGTTAATATAAGCTGAGTAAGTTAGTGAATCGATGAGTCATAAATAATCACACAAAACAAAATTAGGTGCTTCGCCTAATGCCAAGAGTACGTAGAAAACTATGGTTTCATCAATATTTACATATCAATTTCTACCACGTTTGCATTGATTTCCAAACAGAAGTATTTAAAATTGGTAAGATTTGAATAATGTTGATATAAACAACTCATGACGTTATGTCGAGTTCAACTTAATATTAAATTTTATAATTTTGGCAATATTATATTAATTTATTATCATAGAAAATTAAATTGAAGTCAAACGCACATTGACTTACTTTTCTGTAAGAAGAAATCCATAAAATCTTTTGTTATCATAATTTAGAAAATATCTAGAAAAAAATTTATTAGTAGAGTTTATTTAATAAAATACATATTAAGAAAAAAATTAATTTTATTCAAAAGTGTGGCATTTCTTACGATATTAACAAAAAAAAAAAACGGCGGTAAATCCGATTTGATATGGTGTAATTATCATATTTTATTTACATTATAATCTTAACTAATTTAGTTAAGTGAATAATTGATTAGTAAGGATTAAGTATCAAGATAGGTTTAATATATTATATAAAGATATGTGAATTTATAAAGTCACACTTTTGTTTTAGTATAAGTTAACATAGCTAACTTCAACACACATAGCTAATGTCGAAAAGCAATATAGAGTACCGGAGTTTGCTGCCAGAACAAAATAATACTACATATACTTTACTGCTGAATTATACTGAACTGACTTAACTGGATTGAGTTAGTGTCTCAAATTCACTCCTTGATTGATTTTAGCAACTTTTTTATGGTAAAAACGCATTGCATCAAAGCGGATTTTTATACTAACATCACTCTCATAGGCAAGAAACACTTCTGTTTCTCTACAGTTGGCTAAAGATATATTTTTTTTCTGTTGTAATTGTTAAACAAGATTTTAGTCGTTCGTGAATTGAGACATTTTTATAAATGGACATTCGCTCAATTCTGTAATCGTTATAGTGAACGACTACTGCACTTGAATTATATATATTTGATGCAGAATATTTTATGCACCTAGTGGATGACTACTACACCTGAATTATCTATTATACATTAAACTTTTTGCTACGTATACTGTAAGAAATCTTTAAACCTTCCTGGAATAGTTCTGCTTTCACACCCAAAATAGTTATTTTTTTCCTGACATAGTTCTTTTCAATTAGAACACCCCAAAAACCCACAAAGCTTCAAGAATGCAATCACAATTGTTTAAATTTTCTTCATTGCATTTTTTTGCTATGTACAACCTTTCCTAGTACAGCTTTATTTTTCACAAAAATACAAAAGTTCTTCATAACTATTTCCAGGAAAGGGTAATTATTTTTTAATCAGAATATTCAAAGTAACTACAATTTAAGAATGGACATGCCCTCAGTACATATACCATATATACAAGCAATATATGAATAAAAAAAACCGGTAAAAGATAAATACAACTAGGGAAGAGCATTTGTTAAAGCAGTGCATTTTTACTGATATATGTACTTCTATACAATCTGTTATTGTAAGTAATGGGAACTTGTAGAGGAAATGATGTATAAAATTTTTTCTAAATGTCAATGAAAGATTTTTAATAATTTATAAATTTTTTAATTATCATTAATATAACTATATATAAGATATAGGCATAATGTTTTTATCTGTAAATTTTAAACTTACTATGGTTGTAAATATATAAAATCTTTCACATAATATTATTGTTAGAAAATTAGTATTTTATTATATTTATTTAATTATATGTTATAATACATACGTGAGTATTTACTACTCACGTGCCTTCTGTCAACAAACAAATCTCCTGTGTGGTATGAGACCCACGTCACCATTGATAGCTATAAATACGCATTTAAAATTTCTCTACTAAGAACTTTGTGAGAGGAGTGTTTAGATCTAATTTTGCTGAATATATGTTAAAATATAAAAATAACTTTTATTATTTTATAAGACTTTTATAAGATTTTTTTTGCATCAAAAACGGTGTAGATGACCACAGTTACAGTTCGGCACCTTGTACTTATGCCGTTTTCGATTGGTAAATCAATCGATTGATAAATTTTTCAATCGAGATTCACTTTTAGTGTAAATATCGTTTTTGATTGATAAATATCGAGCGACTTGTATAATACTTGAAATTAATTTATAACACTCTAGTTCAAACTTTTTTTTGACCAAGAATCAGTATGATATTTTTGTTTTTAATAGGGACCACAAAGTTTAAGAATAATAAACTGCATTACTGTTTTAATATGCTTTATACATCTCTAGTATAATGTATAACGGATTGTATAAATGCATAGGTAGATTATATAGACTATCAAATAGGTATATAGTATAATTACTTGATAATTTTTTGGCTTATTTTCTAGTAATTAACGTCTCAGTGGATAAACTATACGCTATGTATCCATACCTGTTAAATTTCATTCACGTGCAATTTTTTGGGAATCACTAGTTTAGTTGTTTTGCTAGAATAGCAAAATTACCCCAAAATTGACAGCTGTTTCACATGGCTTGACAGGTAAAGTGTCATTTGATTCGACATATGTACTTATGAAAAATATTTATGCCCGCTAACAAAAGTACAGCAATGATAGATTACTTTGAAACGTTCGATTGGGCAAGAAAATTTGACAGATCGAGTATAAATCTAGATTAACCAATCAAAAACGCCAATTATTTTTACTTTCACATTCTCGTCTTAATGAAATGAAATACGGTAACCAACTCTAGTGAATCTCAAGCTTATGGCCAATAAGAAATGAAGTTTCTCCGAGTATGCTTTGATCTAATCAATAATACTTTTGAAGAAAGTGCGCCTAAAGCTAATTCCAAGGCATATATAAATGTGTCTTTGTAAGATATATTCTGGTCAATATTCAAATTCAGAACCCAGTCTATATTATGTTCAGTCGATAAATCACTTAGTACGATCATGATGACAAATTCAGATCAAAGTGCACTTATAAGCTGTAAACAGTGATGAGTAGTCCTTAAGTGAAAATAAATAAATACGTAAACTGTAAACTTAAAATTTTAAGCTATAAAGTTTAATTCTTAAGCTTGATTACCTAGATTATTATATTCAGAATTATTATTATATTATATTATATTATTTATTATATTATATATATATATATATTTATATATATAATATTATTATATTCAGTAATTATGCAGAAAATATTTTTTGGTTTTTATTTTTAGGTAATTGAAATACGAGTTTTGACACAAATCAAAACTAGTAATTAATTAAATATATTTTATAATACAATAAAAAAAATACATTAAAAACATAAACTAACATAATTAAAAATATAATTTATATTTAAGCATAAAATCAAAAGTTACATACCTATGTAAACTGCACTTGTTCCAATGGCATTCTTCCCAACCATGCACATATATACTTCCACATGTTCACTTGCATTATGGAATGCCAGCACCGCAGTTTGTTTATCCACTATCTATAAAGAAAACATATGAGAAAATAGAAAAACAGATATTTCAGAAAATCAACTCCTTATAAAAAAACAGTTACAATACATAAATCGATCGTGTGTCACATGAGATTGACAAGTTTTTACAATTCTTAAAAGTAATAAAAAAGCAATCGCATTTGTTAAAAAGTCTGTCTGTCTGTCTGTCTTGTGAAGTTTGTAAAGATCTATACTGTATGTAAATGGTTACTCACAAAACTTATATAAGCACACAAAACTTACATAAATAATTGCAAAGAAATTTATAAGTACAGAAAGAAACATAAAAAACAAAAATGAGTTGTGTCAACTTGGCGACTAACCAAGACGTGCACTTCTATGCATGGGAAAAGATAGAGACCACAAGTAAATTCATATTCATGGGCTCGAGCTTAGCACAAAAGTATCTTAGTTATTTATAAGCCATAATTTACTCGTAGGCACCAGAAGTGATTTAAATCAGTTAAAACACATAATGCGAATTCGTTTAAAATGCATGGCAAATGGCAGCCCAAAAGAAATTGATATATGTTCTATTCCCAGAAGCGAGTTTTTTAATATTTTCCACTTCGTCACAATTTATCGTACTTACTGGATTAGATTTGATATAATTTAGCAGCAATTAAAAATTTATAGTGAAATTTGTCTACTTCAGAAATGCAATATAATAAAGTCTACTTTTTATTAACGCAAACAAAGTTAAATCTTCTATATATGTATATAAAAATGAATGTTGTCTGTCTGTCTGTCTGTACTCGATGAATTTAAAAACCATATATCCAATCACCGTAAAAATTTAGGAAATTATTAGGTATATCTCCGGGAAGGCTTTTGCAAATTTTTATTAAAATCACAGTTGGGGTTCTGAAATATAATTTCCAATATCATTTAAAACAATTTAGCAATCCTAGATTGTTAGATTGTGAAAAGTCAGTTTGGTTTTTACATTCGTACAGTGTGTTTGGAATAAATATATTAAGTGAAATAGAATAATTAATCTAATTTAATTTTTTAAAATCAGAGGGAAATACGTTTTATTTAACACCACAATTACGCCACCAAAGCGAAGTGCCATGCAAGAAAGAAATCGAGTTCACACTGCTCTTGGTCGATCATTAGAAATGAGTGAGCAAAGCAAGAAAGAAATCGAGTTCACACTGCTCTTGGTCGATCATTAGAAACGAGTGAGTGACACGAAGTTCGCCGTGTCAGCTAGTAATATATAAATATACTTATATCTGTACATATTTTTTACAACTAAAAGTAATATTTAAATGCTACGTATAAGAATTGCTTCAAAGAAAACAAACAAGTAATTTAACATAGTCATCGATTTTCTTATTTGGCAGCCAACGAAAAAGACTCATCATCGTTATATAACATGATCCTAGAAGAACGACTAAAGCATTATCTTTCACTGAAACATATTATGTATATAACATAATATAGTTGTAAGATTATAGTAGTAATACAGTAGCCTTGATAGAGAAACGTTGGCAATATATGACATATCCTTCAGTATATCCTTGACATAATGTTGTCAATTTTTCTTTTTTAAAAGCTAAATAGGAATATAGAAGGAGTTTGATGGTTTCTTCCTTCCCACTACAGCAACTACTGTTGTTGTTTTTGAATGTAGTGCTAACTCTTGGAGTGTGTCACATTGAAGACAACTAAAAGGATGTCATTCATTTGCATTATCCAATTTGCTTTCTTCTTTGCTTGATCAAACATAATAGTGCCTGTGACCATTTGGATTATCTATTTTAATTAGAGCTTCGTTGAATTCTGATAATAAGTTATTCTGATAATTTTATAGACGTATACTTTAAAGCACAGCATATATTGTTCAATTATGACCAAACAAGATTTTTTAAGTGGAAACATATTTTTTTTCAATATGTTTTCTTCTAAAGGATGTTGAGTGATAATTCCTTTTTTTGCTTGGCCCCTTGGTAATACAGTTTCCCTTAACAACACTGTCGAACTTCTAAGCCATCTCATTTGAATATGATGTTATTGATAGCTGTTTGATAATCAAAGTAATAGTACAAATGCTTTGTAAAAAGCAAGGGATTCTGCTCAAGAGACAAAACAGAAATCAGAAAGTTAAAAATGCTGTTATTTGTTTTTATAACAATGAATAATAACAATATTTATTTTGACAACAACTCCTTCTGGATAGTGGTAATAGGACGGTATGTATACTAGATCTATAGTACATGGGATCTAGGTTTAAATTCCACTAAACACGCTGATCAATAAACATTTGATCCAAAAACAGGCTCTAATAAAAACTTTGAACAAGAGGTTTACATGCTTTGTCTTAGATTAACTTAACGTGGCCTAATCTCCTCATCGCCCAAAGCAGCAGTTTATCTGGCCTCACAGAATTTTTTGCAAATTTTTAATCTTTAAAAAGAAGCCTAATATTATCTAATGCACTAATGAGTCCTGCACGTAGGACTCATTAATCAGTGATAGGGTCACTGATAGGGTGATAGGCTACTCCGAAGTAATACTAACGTGATCTCGGAGTAAGACAAGATCTATACGAAGGAGAAGGAGAGTATTATCTCGAGTCAGGCATTAACTTGCCGAGACATAGGAAAAGCAATTAGGTTGTGTTCAATTTCTGACATTTGTAGCTCAAAAAAATAGTGAAGATTTGTCCATCAGCTTTTGAAATCATTTGATTTAAAACTTTCGGATTAGAAAATATTCTTAATGTTTACCTCTATTTTTTGAAATAAAATTTCTTTTTTTCTTTTCATGTCAAAATGAATGAAATTAGCTGCCTAGAGCTTTTGTTTAATGTAAATTTAGGACAATGCTAAAAAATTAAAATTTATAAAATTTATTTAAATAAATTTAATTTATTTCATTCCCAATTTCATCAAAAATTATCTGTAAGTAAGGAAATTTTTGGCACAAATCTAATATCTGAATCTTTTTTTATATGACAAAAAACTTTATTTCATAAACTCTTTCATTATTTATCTGCACAGGTTAATTAACCATTAAGATATTTTTACTGAGTTTGAGAAGATCGTGAGAATAATTGAAACATTAAAAAAATAAAAATTCAGCTGAAAAGTCATGAAGTCAAAAAGAACTTTAGATTTTTTATGGTGTAAAATGCATTTAATCTTAAGCAATTCTATCTTTTACATCTGTCCTATCTGTTCAAGTTAATTTCATATTTTAAACCGAATTATGTGCGCTTCTTTGCATCGTCTCATTTTTATCTTGTAGTTATTTATAATAACCTGAATTAGGTAGGATCATTGAGTTTATATATGTACATATAGTTATAGTTAATTTAATTTAAAAATAAAATACTTACAATTACTGGATTTTTGGATTTCTGCGAACTATATTTCTCTTGAAAATAAATATCTCTACTATCCCCGTGCTCTTTATTAACGACACACGTAATATTAAACGAAGCACCTATTTCAGCTTCCACTTTAATCGGCGTTACAACTGCAAAAAAAAATTATTATTTATTTAATTATGTTAATAACAATATATACATATATTGAAAATATATTCTAATACGTATATAGAGGATAATACTTAATATAACTTATAATATACAACTTATTTAATAGTATTTAAATGGATATATTTATATGTCGCTATATAGGTTGAAATCTGTTATCATAGTGAAAATATATATGGGTTATCTCCTTTTTTAGTCAATCAATCAATCAAAACAAGTCTATCTCAGGAATAGCAACAGTGATCAGAGGTTCTTTAGATATTTCAAGATAGATATAAAAAAAAAGATTAAAAAAAAATATAGACTTATTTTTAGATATAGATATAAATCTATGCAGTCAGTCCTAACATTGAAGAATAGTTAAAAAGAAAACATAGTTAATTGAACCTCCATTTGATATAGATGTTAAGCTACTACATATACCTTCTAAAATTGCTTCACCGTTTTCAACTGACAGATAGTCATTACAGACCAACTGTCAAAACCTTGCTGAAACCATAGAATACGTCACAAAACTTGCTGAAAGCATAGAACATGTGGTTGATGAATGTCAACTCCTTCAGGTCACCTACTAACTCCTCACAGCATCAAATATGCAATGTGCTCAAGTAGGAATGCAGTAAGAACGCAAATCGTGCAACGCTTTAGATATTTAGAAAAGAAGCACAAAGTACTATTAAAATTCTATAACTATTGACCCAATTTCCAATAAGATCAGTTGAAATAACACAACAGCAATGCTGACAGATGAAAACGTACAGACGAAAATTCAACCTGACGCAAGCTCTGTCAGGTCACAGCTGTTTTAAAGCCTACATGTACAGGTTTCACCTAGTGCATGATCCCTGGTATAATGCTTGCCCAGAGTTGGAAGAGAACGCAATATATGTGCTGTTCACTTGTTCAAGATTCGGACATTTGAGAGCGGAGTTAGAAGCAGAGTTATCGACCGGCAACTTGGTACCCTTCATGTGTAGTTCGGCATTGAACAGCATCGGTACATCGCGGATTCGACTACTTTTCTCTCTGATGAGAGAATTGAGAGGAGCTGAACAACTTCGACGGCGAGAAGAGCTGTTTCCACAAGCAAGTGGACGGTTACTTACGTAACGACCAGACTAACGCTTTTAGCTTTTGCTCAGAAAGCAGTCAGATGTATTACCTAACGGTAGCTCCTGAAAGAAACGGTAGAAATTCCTACTAACCCTAGACTTTCAAGTTCTTCTCCCATTCAAAAAAAAAAAATGTGGTCAACTCAATATTACTAATTGACGACAAGAATCATAACGTTTGAGCTTTATGCTCTGTTCTGTTCTTGTAATCATCGGATATCGCGGTGATATTAGTGGGTTAAAGTCTTACATTTATTTTGGCTTTCAATTAATTTACACCTTGCTAAAAAAATTTATGTAGAGATGAATTTGATTGCTTCCAGATTTTACACACAAAAGACGGACAAGTTTGTGTTAAAAATGCGCATATACATACAAATATATATATGAATAATTTTGTCTAGTTGTTAATCTATTCTGCGCTAATGCACATACGAAACAGGAGATACATACATATATATATATGAATAATTTTGTCTAGTTGTTAATCTATTCTGCGCTAATGCACATACGAAACAGGCTCGTAGGAATGTATATTCTTACAGAAGAGGCAATAAAACTCTATAAAGTAGGTTCTATACTACTTTTTATTGACGCAACAGAGCTTAAAGACCTACTCTAAGACCAGAAGGGGACACAATAGACCCGACGGTCGCAGTGCTACATCACCTAACAATAATAATAATAATCTATTCTACTTAGTTATTTCGGCAATACATTTATACATTACGTATGATTTATACGTTACGTTAAACTGATCAATAGCAGATGTGTGCACGTTGTAGTATCCGAGAATAAATACTGTCTCCTTCACTGCGTATATATATTTTAACTTAACAGGCTGTTATGTGCTAAGCGTTCAAATTAAAAAACCTATATTCTCATTGGTATAATAATAAGTGATTTATGGTTTATTGTATATTTTATTTCAGTTCATGCAATAAAAACCAACTATTGTCAAAGGGCTGTTATAAAAAATTAGATATGATACTATAAAGTCTGCAAAAATCTGAATCATAAAATTACCATTTAAAATGTATTCAAAATAGTAATTAATGCACATTAGCCAAAGTAAATACACTTTATCGTATTCCAAAAACAGCTTTCGTTTGCTATAGCAATTTCCGTAAACTATAATATTTCCTTTTGTAATAAACAATACGTGTACGAAATTTGGGAGATTAACTTTAAAAATGAAATATCTAAGTTTCAGATAAGATTTCAGATACTAATGTGCAGCGCTGAAATTATAAAGTAAATATACAAAAGGCAGAGGGCAGAGCGAATGTAAACAAAACAAAGATAAATGTCAAGTAGCAAAGATACTTTACGTGTGAAAAACACACACGGCACGGATTGAGTTAGGTGAACATGAATTTAATATGATCCCACTTTTCATAAAAAAACAGACTTCACAGTAACTCTGGATGAATGAGTAGTCTATAAAGTGCCGAAAAAAATTAGAAATTAAACAAAAAAAGTATTAACAGAGAATTTTTATAATTATTAAGAATTAATAAAAGTTTCTGACGAATTTTGAAACTTTATTCCACATTAAATTATGAATTTTAAGTGTTACCAAGTATCTATTCAGTATGCGTAAACATAAACAGAAAGTTTATATAGGTAAGCATAATTTAACGCTTTTTCCCAAAAGTGTCGTAATGTGTTAACATAGGTGGAATAGGCTCAAGTGTTTAGATACATGCAACATCAGTTTGTGTTATTTTTCATTTATGAACTGCTAGAATACAGTAGCTTAATGTGCCCAGGGGAAAATAATTATACTGTTTACAATATTAATATTAAAGAATTCCTTGAATTACTATAAAGCCTAAACAATGTCTATAATAGAATAAGTATGGAAGAGCTTTTAAGTTAACACTATCATTGTCAAGAGAAAATAAAAACATTGTGTCATACACACGAGTACATACAAAATATTTTTTTCGGTAATGAATGATATTGTTTTTTAGATATGATGTTTAGCATTAACTATATATAAAAGATATATAATACGACTAAAACTTTGATATAGTTTATTATCAATAGGTGAGTTTTATTGCTTAAAATTATGTGATAATATAGCAAGTCTTTTGCCTAAAGCTCTAAATATATGAAGCAAAAACACTGACCTTAAGGAACTAGTTAGTTACATATAGTTCTGGCCCTAAGTTGGTTGACCTCATTAATTACTGGACTTGAGGAAGACATTTGCAGACTATGTCTAGAAGAAAAGGAGACAGCGGTGCAAATATTGTGCCAATATCTTATGTTAAGCCTTTTTCGAGTTAGTGCATCTGGACACTTTTACTCTACGATGGCTGGGGGGTTTCTGCAGAGTCCCACCCATCTCACTGACTATATTTAAGTATTCCTCATAATCTTCGTGATTATTCAATGATTGATCTAAGATCGTCGTACCGCCCCGTGCGGTTAGTGATTACTCTGAGATTAGATAGTGCTAAGTAGGGCAGCCTGTCGGTTCAGAGCTCTGTCCCTTATGTATTTTTTGACCGGATCTATTCTAAGGTCTCTTAGCATCTCTTAGCGGATGTACCATGGAACTTTGAAGAGCCTTCGAAGAGCCTGACTTTGAACAACTTGTAGCTTTTGTACCAATGCCCAGCACTGGCAAGTAATAGAATAACTGTTTTGCAACACCATTGGATTTGTGTAGATTTGGCAGCCAACCTCAAGTTATATGAACTGCTTTTAATAACAAGAGATGTAGTTATGCGAACGGAAGATATTTCAGCTTCAACTCAATAATGACATCCGAGAATAGAAGGACGAAAAAGCAACTAATTTGTTTCGTAACCTATTTCGACTAATCCTTCACTTCAGTGGAGCCACTTGTTGGACTGTGCGCTGTTCCAAAAGTCCCACAATATATATACATACAGTCTTAATTCAACTAAGACTACAGAATTCTATGTTACTGAGGTATCCAATTTTAAAGTCTAAATAAATGTTATTAATTAAAATTAAATTTATTATGAATTTCAAACAAAGTAAGCATTACTTACTTTTATTAAAATAAAATTATAATTATATTTATTTTATTTTTTATTGTTAGATTAAAATGTTTTGAAATACGTGCAAATATCTAAATTTTAATCCTCTAAAGAAAAAATATTTTATCAGTTTATTATGAGCACCCCATAATAGTACTCACCGATTATTTTCATGAACTCAACTACATTTCCAGTTCAACGCAGCATAAGAAATGGATTCAAAGTATTCAAAGCGGAAAAATGAATTAATTTCTAAAATCGTAGTAGCAAATCTAATAAAAAGCTACGAGGATATGGCAATAGCAGTCCATGATTTGGTTCAAATCAGCCCTGGACTTAATGAGGAAGAAATGAATTGGTTGTCCGTTGCATATAAACATTGTGTCAATACGCGTATTTATTCTTGGCATACTGTCAAAAAAGCGCTGGAGCAAGAGAAGGAAGCAAATAACACTATAAATGTTCATAAAGCTGAGGAAATGCTAAAAGATATTGAAGTCGAGATACGTACATATTGTGCTGATATTCTAAACATGTTAGAATATAAAATAATAAAAAATGTCGCAGATACCACTTTAAAGGTCTCATGTTTCAAACTAATGGGTGATCATAACCACTTTCTATCAGAAATTGAAACTAACGAGAGAAGGAATTATACGATTCAACAAAGTCACAATGCTTATGAAGAAGGATATAATTTAGCAACCAAAACATTAGATGTAGACAATCCAGTGTTTTTAGCTTTAGTTCTCAACTATTCACTTTTTCTACATGAGACAGTAAAAGATGCTAAAAGAGCAATGGAAATAGTGATGACGGCTCGTGAGTCGATTGCGGAAATGAGTAATGTACAGACTAACAATAAATCAACTTACATACTCAAACTTTTGGATGAAAATATGGATCGGTGGGGTGCTACAGAAAATCATTATCAGGAACTACTCTAAGTACTTAGTATTAGTTCAAAATAATTTGATAAAATATTAACTATATAAAGAGGAAAAGAAAATAAAATTTAATTTGCAGTAAAAGTAAAGAAAAGTTTTTTATTTTAAAGAAAATAATGCTTATATTAGCTACTGATAACTTATAACTTATATCATTATAACTTTTATCATTATAACTTATATCATTATTTTGCATTATTTTTAATTATAGTTTAGTAACGTAGAATAATACAATGTTATAGTTTTGGCTACTTATATTTCTATTGGATCTATTTAATAAGATCCTGACTTTCACTTATATACAAGCTAAATGGCGAGTTTCTTAGCCGATGTCTATTATTCTTATTATTATATAGTATCATATTTTTTTTTTTGTGAAGAGTAGCAATCAAAAAGTAATTAATTCATTATTACTCTTAATATAACAATGCAATGCGCATAATCTAATCTGTCTAACCTAATCATTTTGATAAAATCCAAATTTTTAGGATTTGTGTTTGAACAATTGCTTAATTCTATCTAGTATGGTTAGATTAGTTCGAGTGGATGTATGTTAATATACATATCAACATTCGTATTTGAGATCTTTTAATTTATTAGATCTTGTATTAATCTATTCCCCATTGTGATGCACACCAAATAACACCATTTGACCATTCTGTCTGCAATAGTTGTTAAAATATTTGGTCTTCTATCTATGTTTCTCTTCATTATCTCTGTGAGAAAACGGTGACCAAACATTGAAGTCGCTGTAGTTATCTGCAATTCTAGACATAAGTCTAGTCCGTCTGTCGGATTACACCATCGTTGAAGCGATTCTCTTATGTTTCATATCCGATTTCATTGCCATATCAGTAATCATGATTTAAATACGTTATTTTTTTAACATAGTTATAAGTGACCCCAGTATCTTAGTTGGAGCGCTAATTTTATTCATAGTATATATACACATATTTTAAACTATGTAAGTAGGTATATACGTTTGGTTTTCTTTTTAGTGCGTCTCAATAGGAAATGTTTTGAACATATATCCCAACCTAGAAGTTATTAATATATCGTTTTTTGCTATCACTCAAGTTCTTTTGATTTTAATGATATCTATACCTAAGGATAAGTACTTTAGCTTTTTTTTTTATTATATATTAAACTTGAAATGTCTAATGGTATATAGTCTAAGAAATGAGTATTTGATTGATACAATTATAATATTGAGAAAATACAGTTTTGTCATTTTGCTTACATGGTGTAAATGAATTACATAATTCATTAATTTGTATGGGTCAAAGATTCTGATTTTCGGTTTCCGCAATGATAATGGATTTTGGTTAATTTGAGTATTTTACAATATAGTTTGCTTCTTAAGAAAACTGTGGCATTAAAAATTTTCCCGATGGGTTATATGATAAACAATAATTATTTTTGTATTAGTAAATTAATATATTTATAATAAAAAAATTTTGTATTTTAAAAACTATGTTTAATATTGTAGTAATAATAATGCTTGTACTATTTTCTAGGAATATTTATTGTTTGTATATGTATATGTACTTACCACCAGGACCATTTAACCCATGCACTAGGGAAATGCCAAACACAGCCATAAGTAATATGCTCCAACTGTAATAAACCAATTTGGAAAACAGAATTAATGTTTAATATATTTTTCATTGAAATATATAAATAGTTTCATATTCCTATCAGTATTAAAAAAATGGGTGTAACAATCTAATGAGAAGATTTAGCTTATTTTAACTATTACCAAAAAAAATTATATGATAATGGAAATAATTGTGAAATACATTTATAATTAAACTGTATGACTTTCACAGTAGAGTGGTTTAACTAATTATTTTTATAAAAATTTGTGGCAGGTTTCATTAATAATTTTTTTTATCAAATTAATTTTTCACTGAATCTATAATTATTATAGATTAATCATTTAAAAGACGTCAGCAGTAAATAATATATTAATTCTAAAAAGAAGTCGTATGGGTTTAAGTTGACATTTATACTACCTCTATAAGGTTAACTTTAATTTAAAACATAAACTTAATTTAAAATTACTTTAAGAAAAGATAAAAACTACTGAAGGTCAATGATGATAACTTTCAGCATCTGACAAAGTCCTTAGCGGCTATTGAAACCAGACCTCTATATCAGATTTTGTATATGTATAGTGCATAACGTGTGTTTAATATGATACTTGCTGAAAAGTAAAACTTTTTAATGATATACAGAAAAACTTTGCTTTAAGTTATATGCTTTTTTGTGAAAACACATCCTTTGGATAAGAATTAATTTTGCACTATTTACTTTGTTGATGTATACATACAACAGTTGCAATAACAATTAAAAAACTTTTAATTAAAAACTGATTAAAAATAATATATATATTATGTAAATTAATGAGTACGTAAAGAAATATGGAATAATTTGCTGGTGGCCAAGGCAAAATTTTTATTTCACTTTAATGTCAATTTAAATCTTTTCATTTAATAAGTTTTTATGAAAATAAATATTTACTGAAAATATTGCATTAATATTAATTGAACTTACACTTAAACATTTATTCAATACATGAAAATCTGTAAATTCTTTCAACAACTAACGTTGTTGCTGTGAGTCAGGTTTGATAAAATTGTGAGTCTATACGTGTACTCGTAAGAAGATATATATTAAATCTGTGGGTTTCGGTGCATGTATATGCAATCAACATAGTTTTTAATAATTCGAGATATTTCTTCATTGATTATCAGAACACTTAGTGCCATCTTATTATAATGGCACAGTAATTATCTGGGCTAAAATAGGGTTATCTTATTTAAAGCTAAGTTGCCTTAGGACTGTGGCCTTACTTATGACCTATTTCTTAAGACCAAAGTAAGTCGAGTCTCTTATGAAACAACCAAACACTAGTATCTACTATCTAATACATAATATTCGTATGTGAATATGTTTACTAAAATCACGTAATATATTTATTATCTAATACTGCTGATATACTGCTTATCAATTAATTTTTTTTGTGATTCATTTTATTTTAAAAAGAATATAAATCTACCATCTGTTATTTCTCTGTATCTCAAACTTTAAAAAATTAATCTGAAATATATTATAAAAACAACATATTAGTACTATTTCTATAAATTTATACATTGTAGATAAATATTTTAAGATTATTATTTTTTTTTATTATTTGCAATGAAGCAAGAGGCATACATTTCTGCATACATAATAGTTTGATATTATAAAAAAAAATATTTTATAGTCGACTGCAATCAACTTTTTTATGTAGATATAAATTTATTTTAATTTTGTTTACAATTGCAATGTAATATAAAAATAGAAAGAGTCAAGTGCTTGTAGTACTTGAGATACGAGGCGAATATTAAATTTTTATTATTATATATAATTTGCTATTTATATTGTAGATTTTTCATGGTTTCACGGTGTTTTTTTTATTGATTTATTACTTAATTATTGAAAGCAGTAAAGATCGTATTTTAATTATGAAGTCTTCTAAAATAGTAGAAGTATGTTTTTATCATTACTAGTCTAACACTCAATACTTTTTAAGACTAACAATATAATAAAGAAAATCTTATTCGAAATGGATATACCTAAAGCTGGATTAAAAATAATCCAATACTTCAATAACAGAGTTAGCAGTTGAATTGTAAATGCAGTCAAAATTTCATAAGTCGAACTTCTATAACTAGAATTATCTATAATTCGAACTAAACATTCCATATTCCATAACTCGAACTTCTATAACTAGAATTATCTATAACTCGAACTAAACAGAGTGCCACAGTGTGTTAGAGAGTAAATTACATACAGTTCTTCTTCCATAACTCGAACTTCTATAACTCGACACTTATGGATTGCTTAAATCATGTAACAAAAACTTGATATATTGATGTAAGTAGTCAAACGATAGCGCACTGCTTTTAAAAAGCTGGATTTGGCCAATTTTTTACATGGCCAAATTTTTTCGAATAACATTGATGAAGACCGTGAATTGATGAAACAGAATTATGAAGCGTGGTTTAAAGTAAATAAAATAACTTCCAATGCTACTCTTACCGTTTATATTGAGCTTGACAATGAAATTTGTACATCAAGCTTTCCCACAGATGACGATATTATTGAACATTATAGCTCTGAATTAGTGGATTAGGGTTCGGTGTATGAAATTGTTCATCAGCCTTCCAAGAATGAAGTAAAAGACTCATTCTAAATTCTGAATTTTTATTTGCAAACGAATGATAGATATTACAAACGATAATCACTATAAGGCTTGCAATAAATTGGAAGCTCTGAAAACTACTGAAAAGAAAAAGAAATTGAAATCCTAAATCCAAATTTCTGAAAATTTTACTTCACAACTTCTGTGCTGTATTTGATTTCAAATAAATAAACATTTTAATATGTATTTCTAATTTCTTTCAAAAATAAAAATAAAAAAAAAGATTTCTAACTCGAAATCTTGTTAAGAAGTTTGACTGTATTTAATGTTAGAAATGTTGTTTTTATTTGTATTTCATCATTTATTTAATTTATTTGCAAATAGTTACACTTTTTAAATAAAATATTTGAAAAATATGAGTGATTTATACTTTAATTAATGATATACCCCCTGCTCATAAAGTATCCGGATTTGGTTGTTTGTTAACTACTCCTTAAGTAATAGACCTTTTTCAAAAATTTATATATGGTACAAATTTGAGCGCCACCTGTCAATTAGTTTGTTTACAGCAGCTGTTAATGTGGAACTACTTCAAGTGCATATAGCGATTTTTACTTTAGAAAATTTTTGAGGTACGCGATTTTTTGACCAAACACAGCACCACTGTTATCGCTCAGGCACCATATTCACCAGATCAGGATCCGTGCAACTTTTTCCTGTTCCCGAAACTCAAATTGTTCCTTTGTGGTAAGCGTTTTGAGTCGATTGAATCGGTAAAAGAGAATTCGCTGAAGGAACTAAAAGCCATACCTTCACGGGCCTACGCAAAGTGTATTATGGTAGATTGGGTTAAGCGTTGGCATATGTGTATCGCTTCAGAAGGAGCATATTTTGAAGGAGATAAAATAAATTTGGAATAAAATTTAAATTTGTGTGTTTTATTCACAAAATCCGAGTACTTTTTGAGCAGAAGTATTTGAACTTTTTTCGTTTATAAAAACTTAAATCTCAGCTGATAATTTGTTTGTATAATTGTTTGTATATATATTTTATTTTTTTATTTATAGTAATTTTGACGTCAGTTCTCATCAATAGAGTCGGTGAAAAATAACAAAAAAAGCTACAGTTGTCATACCGTTAAATGAATTTTACGATATTATTTAAATTTCTTAAATGTTTTCTAGATTAGTTTTAGAATAAATAAATGGTATTGCTTACTAAAAATAGTTTTACTTTACAGTAGCTAATTTTAGTCAAGGGAAGCAACACATAATCGTTTTTCTTAGTATGTATATTATTATTTATATTTTTTACTTATTGAAAATGCAAAAATAAATGTTTATTTAGACAAATAATTTAATTTATTTTCTAAGTAAAGTTAGAACTTTAGCTAACCAAAAAATCTTGTTTTTCTATGAAAAATTCATTTAAATAAAGTAATTAAAGATTTATTAAGTGAAATACTTATCAATCATATAAAAATTTTATTATTTCAAAGAATACAAAACGCAAATGATTAGCAAAAATTTGGTTGATCGCACCTTTAACCTTTTTTGCGGTTAATAAGTCAATACTGTTCAAAATTGATCATCACAGCCTATCGATCAGTTAGCCAAAGAGTCTATAATTTAAATTCTTCTGAAGAGGCAATTTGGCGAATTTTGTTTCTCGCTTAGCGTTACATACAAAACACGCTATGGGACAAAAACAAGAAAAGAAAAAACAACAACGAACAACTGCAGCATCTTTAAAACTCTTAAGAGTTGCAAACATCGTTTTTCGATGAACATAAGAATTCTTAGATATCTTAATTTTTCCCAGTAATCTAAATTTGAAAGAAACGTCACAACATTGTTGGTTAGGCCTGTACAATAGTATTACAGTCTCTTAGTCAGCGTGCTGATCACAGACAGCACCCGATGTGGCAGTTATGGTTAAAAATGTTAAATTATGATTTCCAAGAAACAAAAAACAAAACAATTCAAGTTGCAGAAGCACAAACGTGCATACAAATCCATATACAGATGCACAGATACACAGATACACAGATAGAGAAAATGAAAATAAGTCACATTTGAAGTCTGGAAGTACCTTCTCATCGAAGTCATAAGGCAAAATTCAAGGAGCACACCACACAACAAAAGGAAATTTATGAATATAAAACATCACAGATAAAAGATAGAAGAGCACACAAAACGTAACTGACTCAACTGAATCGTTTAAACTGATTTCAGCTATAAAACATAAACGGGACAACTTATATAAACGTAGATACATGCCATCTACAAAATTAATCGAACGGACAAAAAGAAATGAAACAAGAATCAAAACAAAAAAAAATGAAAAAGAAAAAAGAACGAATAATAAGAGAATCAGAAGGCAGAAAACAAAAACCAGAAAGGAATGACGGCCGGCAGCATTTGTATTC